AACGTTGGGGGGATGAAGCTGCCGAAGGCAAAAACCCCGCTGCGAGGTAGCGTCCCCTCCCGACCCACCCTCCTTGGAGCAGCCGAGCCTGGGAGCTTCCTCCTGGGTGCTCAAACCCCAAAATTCTGGATAAAATTTTATCTGTGTGTCTTCTGCCCCCGCTGCATCCTCACCCCCTTCCCGTGAGTCTGCCTCGGTGGCAGCGCACCCGGCACCTTCAGACCCACCGTGCTCGTGCTGCTCCACGCTGGGCTATCGAGCATTTTTCCAAGGCTCTCCAAGCACCGTTAACGTTTACATCGGTGATAGCAAAGGGCTTTTGTTAGCGTCTCCTTACTCTGAGTGATGCCACCGCGAACAGCGCGGTGCTTGGATACTGCTGGATTATAGCATTGATTTTTATTATTTTTTTTTACTTTTTTTTTTTTTTTTTCCCGGTGACGGGCTGTTGTCGTGGCTGCTCCTTTCATTTACTGATTTCTAGGTCATGGTTCAATTGGATCTTTTGACTCTTACACAGGTTATTTATTCAGATTTTCCTTTATGGAGTGACCTTTTAAAATAGATTTGTATTGAGACAGGCACGAAGTATTTACATTTCTGTTAACTGGGAGACTTAGCCCCTTCTCATCTCCAGCATCGTTTGACCTTCCTGAGTGAGTATGAACAACACCAGGCCAGAGTTATCTCCCTGTCCCCTCTCATCTCAGCACCTGGCTACGGTCGTGTCTCCCTATTTAGTTACTATATGGTTCATTATTAACACCCGGCCGCTCCTCTCGCAGATAGGGTTTGCATCACGTGTTTGCTTCCCTTGTGCTTAAAACCGCCCCACCCTGGGGAAGAAAACGGTTTTTGAACGAGTCTTTTTCCTTCCTGGGAGTGGAGGATGCTCCCGTCCTGACGCCAGCCCGGTTCCCACCCGTGGTGGAGGGGGTGGTTGTCGTCCCCCCCCCCCAGATTTGCTGCTGATCTCTTGGTGTTGTGGCTCAGTATTTTATTTTATATTTTATTCCCTTCTGTCACGCAGTGACCAGGACAGGGGACGATTAACCCCTTCACCAGATATAATTGTCCTCTCTGATAATGAGGCATCCAGTCCCCGTTCCAGCTCTCGTATGGAAGAAAGACTTAAGGCAGCAAATCTTGAAATGTTTAAGGTAAGGGTGTTCTCAGCTATCCCGGGCAGCTGCTCTGCTGAGAGCTGTTCTGCTGCGGGGGGTGTGTATGTGTGTGTGTGTCTGCTTTTGGGGAGCTAAGGGGGTTCCTGAGCAACGTGGTAACTTCTGGGCGTGAGGATCCAGGTCTTGCCTCCTCGGTTATCCGTGGTAACAAATTTTTGCTCGTTTTAAAGCTTTCTCGCGCTCTCCTGCCACCAAAGCGCGAGCAGCAGGTTTTGGCTGTGTGACTTCTGATGGATTTTTCTGCCTCTCTGGCAGGGTAAAAGCATAGAGGAGCGACAGCAGCTGATCAAGCAGCTTCGGGATGAGCTACGGCTGGAGGAGGCCAGGCTCGTGTTGCTGAAGAAACTGAGGCAAAGTCAGCTGCAAAAGGAGAACGTGGTACAGAAGGTGAAGCTCTGAGCAAGCAGCGTTTGGGGCTGGGTGGGATGAGGGGAAGGTGCTTGGCCTCGCAGAAGCCTGTTGGCGGGCAAACGCAAAGACTTGCTCTGCTCTTGGCCCTTCCTTTGCTCCGCTTTGGGCCTCCCTGGTGATATTTATTTCTTACCAAAGTGTGTCTGTAGCAAATGCACAGCCCGTCCTGCCCAGCGTGCTGCCCTCAGGGCCAGCTGAGAAGATAAATCTATGCAGCTCTGAAG